GGGTTCTATAAAGGTTTCGATCAAGAATTGGACTAGGGTTTCAGCGTAAGGTATACCATAACTGCAATCAGGACACTTAAATTAGTACTGGTAATTTTTTAGGCTTCCACATTCCACAGTATCTTCCCAGGCATTCCGAAACCTTTAAGTTAGGGGATAGACCTTAATCTATACTTGGATCCCTTCTTTGATTTTACATCGTACACCCTAAACCCTAAACCCTAAACCCTAAAACCCTAAAACCCTAAACCCTAAACCTTAAACCTTAAACCCTAAACCCTAGACCCTAAACCTTAAACCCTTAACCCTTAAATCCCTAACACCCTAAACCTCATAATCCTTAACTGAGGGATGCTTCGAAGGTCTTGGTTCCCTAACCCCTAAGCTTCTAAGATAGGGGGGCAATTAGCAATTAGTAGACGCTTTGGGGGACTTAGGGCTCAGGGTTTAGGGGTTTAGGGTTTAGGGTTAGCTTTGGGGGGTCATCATGATTTTTTTGTATCATCATAAGTATACTAAGGAATCCTCCAGGAGCAATATTTTGGCAACTAGGTAACTGGGTTTAGGGTTTAGGGTTTAGGGTTTAACTCTACAGGCTTTTCTATTGGGGTTGTGGGGTGTTTGATTTGAGGGTGTGGGGGCCTACCACCCCCAAACCCTAAACCCGAAACCCGAAACCCTATACCCTAAAAAACCCGAAACCCGAAACCCTGAACCCTAAACCCTGAGCCCAAAACCGGGTTTACCACGGAACCCAGAAGCTGAAACACCGGAACCGAAGCCCCTAAATCCACGAAGGTCCCTTATCTCTGGGTCTAGATGCCTTACAAACCTACACCCCAAACCCTAAACTTTAAACCCCTAAACCCTAAACTCCTAACTTTCTGAACCCTGAACCCTAAGCCCTATAAACCCTGAACCCCAAACCCCAAGCTTGCAGCCCTAGAGGCCCCACAAGCCCCCAAATCCGGATCAACAGCCCGAGAGTTTGGGTTTAGGGTTTAGGGTATAGGGTATAGGGTTTAGGGTTTAGGGTTTAGGGTTTAGGGTATAGGTTTTTTGTTTTAAGAAAAAATCTACGGTAGACGGACGTTTGCGAGCGTTGAGGGGTTTAGGGCTTCGGGGATTTATCACAAAATTCGGCACTCAAGCACGCTACCTACATTGGAGCCTACAGAAGAACCCCCTCGAGATCTAAATGCCAAAACCTGATCAGAACACTGTTACAAGCTTACAGCGAATCTGACTTTCCGTAGGTGTTTGCAGGCTCCGCACCTGTGCGAGTAAAAGTCGCATTAAGGAACCCTCATGAAAGGAACTTTTGAACCTAAGCCGCTGAAATAGTCGGGTCATTGGGTGTCGTGCCAGTAGGCCGTCCGCATCGAAGCTCTCGTACAGGAGCCTGGTTCAGAGACTCTATACTTCGATGTTTGATGATGTTACTGCGTTTCAGGAGATGCCTTTAAGGTGGCGATACACCCCAAACCCTAAAAACCCTAAATCCTTGAAGCTACCGATGCACCCTAAACCCTAAACCCTAAGCCCTAAATGCCAGGTTTAGGGCTTACGGAAGGGAGGGGCGAGGGTGGGCCTTGATGGTTCAGCGGGCCTGCTGTTGGGTTTAGGGTTTGGGGGTTTAGGGGTTCAGGGGTTCAGGGGTTTAGGGGTTTAGGGTTTAGGGTTTAGGTTTGATTTAGGGTTGAGGTTTCCTGCACACGATTCACGGTTTGAGCCCTGAGTCCAAACCCTAAACCAGGGCTCCTGCTACTGTAGGCCCGGTAGGCACCTGCTTACTAAAGCAGCGTTACTCAAGCGCCACAATATTAGGATGCATATGGTAACCCTTGTTGATGTAAAGGGGCTTGTCAATCAGCTATCTAACGTCTAGGACGACCGTGCCTTATGGTTTAGGGTAATATAGGGGCTTTAATAATTAGAATAGGGGTCTTGGGGGTGTTTTATACTATAACCATGCTAGGGATCCCCACCCTCAACAAAAAAATCATGAGAGCTCCCACATTGGGGCTCCTCAGTGCGCAACACCTTATTTAGTCATTCGATATATATATATATATATACACATACATACGTGTATATATATATATATACATACATATACATATGTATCTATATATATATATATATCTATGTGTATCAGCAAAGCCTGAATGATAAAGGTACTCATCATGCAGGCCCTAAGCCCTTCACCCCTGCACCCTACTCCCTACATCCTAAATCCCAAACCTAAACCATAACCCATCCTCGTCCCTACATCCAAACTTAAACCAGAATCCCTACATCCTACATCCCCAAAACTAAACCATAATCCATCAGAATCCCTACATGCTAAACCCCAAACTTAAACCAGAATCCCTACATCCTAAACCCCACCTAAATCCCAAACACCAACCGCAATCCCTGCATCCTAAATCCCCAACCGAAACCACAATCCCTACTTCCTAAATCCCAAACCTAAACCATAATCCCTACATCCTAAACCCCAAACCAAAACCATAATTTCCAAAGCCAAATCATGATCCCTACATCCTAAACCCCAAACGTCCTGCTCTACATTCTCAAGCCCTCCGATGCATGCGCTTTATGATGTCTACCTCAGGGAAGCTCTGAACTGGAAATTCGAACACCCCAAACCCAAACGCCTCGACCGGAAAAGCCCCAAAACATAGGGTTTAGGGTTTAGGGTCTAGGGTTGTTCGTAAGGAAACCTAGAAACCTGCATTTTTGAGGCTCCATAGTATGATTTTCAGTCAATCAGCCCTTGGGCAGGTAGGTAATTTGGGTTTCAGGTAACACTTAATCCCAGTGCTTAGGGTTAAGGATTGGATACCCCAAAAGGTAAAGAAAAACACGTACCTATGTAAAGCCCTAAACTCCAACCGTGGGGCCCCTGCAGCCTTACCTTTAAGGGATCTGAAGCCCTGTCCTAAACCCGTCTCATGCTGAGGGCACAGCGAGTCGCTGTCTGAGTCTAGTAAGCAGCTCAGCAAGCTAAACCTGAGCTCCAGGTTTTTCGGCTCAATATGTTCCTGGACCCTAAATAACCTACTTTTTGGGGGCTTCTGATGATGACATCCTTCGGGAAGTCCTCAACATGGTAGGGTCCAGGTAGGCTCTAAGGTGCCAGGATTGTGACTTGAAGCAAAGGGTTTGGCTGTGAGGAGTTCGGGGTTCAGGGCTCGCGGCTTACGGCCGCTGGAGTTCAAAGTTTGGTACCTCTTGGCTTCTGAAGACATACCGTAGGAGTCCATGTACCCATGTAGTTTATACTTTGGCCCTAAAGCACCCATAAAAGTGCTACTTTAGGGCCAAAGCATATATGCAATATGGGCACATGAACACTTAGGGATATAGCAGTTTAGGGCTTCGGGTTTTGGGAATGGCTGCTGAGCGGGCCTTGCCGTCTGCTCGGGGAAATATGGCTTTCACAAGGGGTAATCTATTCAATTAACAGGGTTTGGGGTGTACATACACATATGTACGCATAAATATGTATGTATATATATACACACATACAAATATGAATATGAATATATGTATATGTGAGTACGAATACAAATACACATGTGACAACCGTAACGAATCCTACTCATAAGAATAAGAACAATGCTGCTTGTGCAAATCACACGAATAAGACTAAGAACAATAATGATAATAATGGTCATAATAAGACTAACAACAGTAACAAACATAGTAATAATATTAGTAATTATATATATATCTCCCTCTCTATCTTTGTAATACTCTCATCGTTTTTTACAGGAAGCCTAAGGAATAGTATTGCTGATGATTCAGGCCCCCCATATTACAGGGTTCAAGACAAGAAATGTTCAGCTCTGGACCTTCTACCAACAAATCCCCAAACCCAAACCCAAACCCAAACCCAAACAAACCAAAAGGGCCCAAAGAACCCAGCGATTCGGTCGTTGTGTTTGGGATAGGGATAGTTTTTGGGAGAATATATGAAAACTGGTTACGTAGACCCTAAACCCTAAACCCTAAAACCCTGAAACCCTAAAACCCTAAAACCCTAAACCTAAACCCTAAACACTAAAACCCTAAAGCCCTCAAACCCTCAAACCCTAAAGCCCTAAACCCTAAACCCCTGTAGGGAAAGACCCGAGACCCCAGTCCGTCCTCCCTCCCTCAGACCTTCTAAGATCCCTTGATTAGAGGGTTCGGGTTTAGGGTTTAGGGTTTAGGGTTTGGGGTTTAGGGTTTAGGGTTTAGGGTTTAGGGTTTAGGGTTTAGGGTCTAGGGTTCCCTTAAAGGGCTCCTTCAAGGGATCTGAAAGGGGATCTCTAGGGCTTAGGATAGCATCCTTTACCTACAGAATACACCTTAAAACCATGTTTGTGATCCGAGCATAATTTGAAACCTATTCCTTGATAAACGGGTTTCGCGGGTTTCTGGGACCCTACTCGCACCTGTTCCAAGACCTGCAGAGCAGGTTTCGGCGCAAAAGTAACCAAAGCATCTCAGGCAGGAGCGTGCCAAACCCACGTGAGAGATCCCTTTAGACTCTAGGATTAAGGCTTATGGTATATTGCCGAGTTTAAGGGCCTTGCGTCTCTCAGAAATCCTTCAAAGGACCCCTTGCACCCTAAACCTATAAAAGGAAAGGTCTTGATAGAAACCCCCGAAAAAGTTATGCAGCCTTATACTATAGTTGTTGTGAGGTGCAGTAAGTAACAGCATTTCCATTTGAACTATTTTGGCCCCTATACTAGAACCCGTATAATTCCCCGAAGGCACTCTAGTATAACGCCCCATAATTTAATAAGTCCCGCAAGAAGAAAGAACTTTGGAGGAATACTCTGACTAACTAGTCAGGCTCGCGTGGTCCTTAAGCGCCCTGACAACCGCAAGACTGAACACTATCTGATACAAGCCCTTGGAATTTTGTTACAACAAAAATCAAAAGCAAAATTCCTAAGATCACTAAAGCGTCTGCCCCTTAAAGTCGATTCCGAGGCTTTGGCACTAGCGACGTCGCAGAGCCCTCGACCGACGTCGCTTTCCAGGTGCCCAGGAGGTGTGCGAACTGCGAGGTTCGAGCAAAGGTTTAGGTTCTCTAGGGTTTAGGGTTTAGAGGTTTAGGGTTTAGAGTTTGGGGGTTTAGGCATTAGGGTTGAGGGGTTTAAGGGATTTATGTGATAGCCTTTGCATATCGCTAACCATCTATCTGTCTATGTATCTATCTGTCTGTCTGTAGTTAACTAAGATGTAAAAACATATTATATATATACACACGCTCTATGCACTCTATACACATGTGTATAAACATATATGTATACTATCTTTACATAAGCGTATATATATATATAACTTATATGTATAGGTTATAATATGTATATACATATATACAAGACAGAGGTCACATCGCCGGAATGTTGAACATGAGCATGAGGCCAGCATCGCCAATGGTCATCCCCACTAAGTTGAGAGCAGGTCGGTCACTCTCCAGGAACACGCCAACCTGCACTGGAAACTCTGAAACCCACTGCCGTGAACCAACAGTTCCAGAATGTGGCTCATCAGTCGAAGACACAGTAGCCCAAGCCTACCCCGAACCCCACACATGAGCTTAAACTGTCTGAGTGGAATGAAGCTGTAGTCCGCACCGTGACCGTCTTCCTTGTGAAGTTGCGTTCCGGCGTTGCACTGTATACTCAGTGAGGTCCACGTATGCTCCGGAGAGCAGACCGCTACCATGTGGTTCAGGAGCCTGGTGGCATGCTGAAGAGACACGGTGTCCTTGAAGAGGCCAGGAGCCGCCCTGACATGAGCCCCAAGCCGGCATATCATCGCTGGCTTTTGCCCTGTCTGTGAATGAGACTGTCTTTCAAAAGGCAAGTCCAAGATGACTTGCCTCACGGCATCCCAGAGCGATAGTGGTGCCTCCTCGGATGGCGATGTCAGGAAGGCATGCGCCCTGACCCCCGAGACGCTCGCGTTCCGGGGCAGAATCAGCGTACTCAGTGGTGGCTGGCTACCTAGTACTTGGAGGCCCAGGGGACTTAGTAAGTAGGTTATAAGTAGAGTTATAAGTACCCTGGATGGAGTTACCCCAATTATATCCCTACTTATAACCGACTTACTAAGTCCCCTGGGCCTCCAAGTAGGGTTGCGCCTGAAGATCCAGAGGTGTAGAGTTTCAACCAAATCCAGCCCCGAACACAGCTAAGCAAAGGCAGGAGCACATCCGCGCAAAAAGCTTCAACCCGAGATCCCCTAGTTTCTATCATTTGAAGGATTACGGGTCCGGGGTTTAGGGTTGAGGGCATCGTGTCTCCGACTCTTCAGGCTTAATGGGGAGACCTGAAGATTAAAGACGCCGCAAGGGTACCAGTAGCCGAGAAAGCAAAGCTCACTCTTCCAGTTTTGGCCCTAGGCCCTAAGCCCTAAATCCTGTAAGCCGTAAGCCCTAAATGGACCCTTGGGTTGATGGGGCGGTTTCTGAGTCTCAGCTCGAAGAGATCCTTAAAAATCCAAAATCGTTTGTTATTGGGGTGTAGGGTTTAGGGGTTAAGGTTTAGGGTGTTACAGGGTTTAGGGTTTAGGGTGTTATTGGGGTTTAGGGTTTAGGGTTTAAGGTGTGCTATAGGGGCTCAGGGTTTAGGGTGTTATTGGGGTTTAAGGTTTAGGGGTTACGATTTAGGGTGCCATAGGGGTTCAGTGTTTAGGGTGCTTTTGGCAGGGTAATACAGGGGTACCGTGTATAGTACCCTTTCCGACCTTTACGATTCTTTATAAAAGTCTTCTTGCAGTATGCTTTGCAGAAGCCTTGTAGAACTTTATGGTTAGTAGAGTGCCCTTAATACTATAATACCCTTATAGAGCCCTAAACCCTACATGCTAAGCCCCGCATCCCCCCATTCTGAAGTCCTGAAGCCTAGAATCTAGAACCTCAGACCCAGCGCGCCACGTCCGGGGCTTTCTTGCTGCTTCCACGGCCTGGAGCTAAATAAGTGACTGCTGACCGAAGGAAATCTTGGCTAGGATCCCCAATAACCCAGGAATAACAAGGGCTCCCTTTTTGGTATCGTAGAGTGCTATAAGGAACCTAAGACCACAAAAAAACAAAATGACCTACTGCGATATCTAGTTGGCAATGGTGCAGGCTTCTGCATGAGCTCTTCAGATACGACAAAATTCGGCCACACATGAGGCCGAGTGCTTCACGGATTTTGGGTGCTTTAAGTATGACGTTCGAGGCTCGATGAAGCTTCCACAAAACTTGCAAGCCGTGTATGCCCGAAGATAGGGGTACATGAAGGAGGATCCGTTCTGAAAGCTTCACTGAACAACTGTGGCTGCAGGGCTTGGGATTACTGGTCGAGGGTGTAGCTTTCGGCAGCATACTCTTCGTGATGACGGGTTGGGGGACGTAAGGACTAGCAGTGGTGATTGCTGGTAAGTATCAGGCTTGGGGTCTGTCATACCACGTCTATAAGAAGATACCCTGAGGACTGATCTTGGTAGTTATTTCGCTATCTTGGACACCCGTGGCCTTGCACCGGATGGCACTGCTAGTAAGCCACTCCACACTGGAGTTGAGCTTGGGCTTAGGGGCGTGTGGGGCTTCCGGTTGTTTGGGGATTCAGAGTTTTTAGGGGTTTCAGGGGTTGAAAGTTTTAGGGTGTTTGGGGTGAGAGTTTTGCGGTTGAGAGCTCCTCCAGAAACGCTAACATCACATGCTGGCTTGCAGTACCAGGTCGTTGGCGGCAACATATTTTGCTGGTCTGCCAAAACCGTTGCTGAACATATGTCCAGAGCAGAAACTTTCTAAACCCTAAACCCTAAACCCTAAACCCGAGCCCAAAAGTTCAGGCCATTCTTCAGGTAGCTGACTGAAGGTCTGCGGAAACACACATCTTAGTCCACGACTTGGCCAAATTTCGACTGCACAGGACAGCTGGTTACGGACCTGGGAGGAGTTGAAATAATCTAGAAATTTCATGACTAGAACAGGGCTGCGCAGGGCAAGATTCTACAGGGCTCTATAGGGCTTGGTGCAGGGGGTTTCAATAATTAGCATAGGGTTTTGGGGACCTTGTCAGCCATGCATGAGATTTAGCAGGTGTCAGCCCTTTCATTCGCGATTGAGTGCCAGCATAACCGAAACATACGGATTGAACCCTAAATCTCATGCCGGAGGACGTCGCCTTCTGATTTTGGGCATGGTATTTTTGATTGGGGCTTTTTGGGGCTTTAGGGCTTTTTGGGGCTTTTTAGGGCATTCTAAGGCTTTTAGGGAGGAGTTGGGCTCTCCAGGTAGTCGTTCAACATACTCGTCCCCGACATGGACATAGCCCAGTTCCCCTGTTCAGTACAATTCCTCGGTCTGGGTGTTTAGGCAAAAACTTAGGGCCTATAGGGCCTTTTCAGCTCGAACCTAGGTATAATGATAAGGGCGTCTATTCCTCATGATCCTTCTCTTAACTTGTCCAGTATCTTATCTTAGGGGAACCAGCGGTTAACAAGGTGAAAGCCCGACGTGAGATAAGCTGCGTCCACAGCCCACCTAAAAAGATTAAAGGTTACCCACTCTCTGCTAAGAACCCGTATTAACCCTGATAGATCCCGCATAAATACCCTTTAAAGTACACCAAAATACGTTAAAGCGCTACGTGAGACAAGCTGCGAAAAAGGTTAAACGTTACCCACCCTCTACCCAAACCCCTCAAAACCCTAAACCGTACCACTAGGCTCCGTTAAACGGACCTTTAGAGCAACCAGGAGGTCAAGGATTCTGCAAAGACTCCCTTCAAGGAGCCCGCAAGGAACCCTGAAAAGATACCTTAAAGGAACCCGGAAAGGTGTACCTGAAAGGAGCCCCTAAAGGAACCCTTAAAGGAAGCCTGAAACACGCGGGTTTGAAAGGAGCCCTTAAAGAAACCTTTAAAGGAACCCTTAAAAGGGGCCCTTTCAAAGAACCCTTGAAAGGAACCTTTCAGGGTTCTGTCCGGGGCTCCTTTTGGGGATGGGTTCTAGGGCGTCCCGTTACTCACCAACGCAGTTCTTTCTTGTTGTACCTGACAAACTCGATTTGCTGCAAGGGCCTGGACGATTTTAAGTTGAGGCTCTAAAATGCTGAACCTCGCGATGCTGACGCCCTTGTGTTTCCAGAAACTGTCATGACTTAGGGCCTCTAGGGTTTAAACCCTAAACCCTAAACCGTTTACATCTGGGGGCTAGTGTTTTGACTTGCTCAGGCTACAGCTGCAGGACTTACGGCACCCAGAACCCATGACAAATCCGGACAGACCAGGATTCCAATCTGCAAGTTCTACGCGCTAATATGGAATTTGTAGTGACCCACATAGGGTGTAGGGTTTAGGGGTTCAGGGTTTAGGGTTAAGGCAGACACAAAAAGTAAGTAGGCTTGGGTAGGTAAGGGTAGCTGATGGTAGTTGCCCAAAAAGAACCCGTAGATCTTAAAACTCCACCCTTCCGTAGTCTTCCTTACACCAGCTCAGTGTCCCGACGACGTATCTGGGGACCTCAGCGATCAAGTTGACCACAGGTTCGGGTTGGGGGTTCAGGTTTAGGGTTTAGGGTTTAGGGTTTAGGGTTTAGGGTTTAGGGTTCAGGTGTTCCTGTAACAGCTGTGTTTTTTCCTACTTATCCTCTTCAGGGACAGTACAAAGTAGTATAAAGATACCCGAAAGGCACCTACTAACGGGTTTAGGGTTTAGGTTTAAAGAACCCAGCAGTGCTCATCTCAAAACCCGATACAAGCATAGCCTTGCAGCTGACAGAGACCTTTGGACACAACAGCTAGTCGGCTGCTTGCAGCAAACCCCAAAACACCTGAAGCCCACAATAGGCCCTAAACACAAGCCTATAGGGACCCCTTAAAGATCCCTGGCAGCACGCCCTCATCACACAACCGCCAGGCCTATACCCAAAGCCCTTCTGGATCCCTTTCAACTCTTTCAGGGAACCCTTTATAGACCCCTCTAAGGAACCCCCTAAGGAGGTTTTGTAAACCCTAAACCCTAAACCCTAAACCCTAAACCCTAAGCCCCTAAACCCCAAACATCCCTTTAATGAGACCTTCAAGGGGTACTTGCAGGCCCAGGGGACTTAAGTCAGTCGGCTAGAGGTAAGCTCACAAATGGAGTAAGTGGGCCAGGTTTGAGAGCTATAGGATTTAGGGGTTTAGGGTTTAGGGGATTATACGTAAGGTTATAATTGAAATATCCAGATTTCGGGTATGTATAACTCGACTTAACACCTACTTGCTAAGCCGATTTGGCCTCTAAGCATTAACGGCCAGGTTGCCACTTGGACGAGCTTCGTCCGCTCGAAGGGAGCCGGAAGCCCGGCGACCGTCACACCTCGGCGATTCCGAACAGATATGTAAATAAATAAATAAATAAATATCTGTATATATATATATACATATTTCAAACATATATATATATATATGTATATGATATATATATATATAGATATATACAATATACATATATATATATATATAAGTACTATATATATATATATATATAGACGCGCGCGCGCGCTGTTAAAACATTTTAAGGGTTAGGATTCTGTGTTGTTGCTTCGGGCCGGGCTTAAGGCATCTAGGGCTCTTTCAGGGTCTAGCACTTTGAAGGGCCTTGGCATGTTGCGGGCTTCGGTAGAGTTCAAGGCTTATGTGTTCAGGCTAGGACTTAACCTTTCGTTTCCCTAGGATAAAGGACAGCCGAGGGCTTGGGGTTCGGGAAGTTTTTTAAATCTAGGGTTCACAAGTTCAGAAGTATTAAAGCTGTCGGAGGGTTGTGCGAGTTTGGCAATGGGTTTGTTATTTGCCTTCGGTCTTTTCGGTTGTAGAGGTTTATACGGTGGTTTGGTAGGCTTCTTACATAAACGTCTATGGCCTCTGCACAGAGCTTGGTGGGAGGTACTTGGAACGGCTATAGAGTTTGAGTGTGGCCTTTTTGGAGAAACAGTCCCTGTACAGCCCAAGATTAACCAAGTATGTGTACATGGAAGAGATCATAGCACCGTTGTGTATGTTTGGGTACAAGGGGCTTAAGAAGTGGACTAAAGCAGGTACTGGCTGGATCAGGGGATGTAGTAAGCAAGGTCATAAGCACGTTAATCAGGGTGCTACCTTATGACCTTTCATACGAAGCCACCTGTTCCTGTAGTTAGGGCACAGCATCTAAGAAGGGGTGTGGTTCAGGGCTTTTGGGTCATGGTGTAGCGCTTTGAGCATTAATGTTCAGTTCCATGAATAGCCGGACTTTCCAGCCACTCAAGGCGAACCAGCAGCTGCATGTATCCAATCCGTCGCATCTACATTCAAAACTGGCTGGCCAACACAGGTCCATTCGCCAGATCTCCTTGTCCCGGAGATACTCCACAATGTATGGCCTCACACAGTGTAGGCAGTATCCATTGTTGTCCATCACGTGTAACTGACTGTAGATCCTTTGTCGATTTTGGGGCAAGTACTTGCTCAGCCCGTTCACGAGGAGGTCCACTGTTGTCTCCTTCTCTTTGTGGTCCTTTTCCACAGCGATCTTGGGCGTAGCTGGGGCACGGCTTTAAGAGAAAGGCCTGCAGCAAAAGTTTTCTAGGGATTCTAGAAACCCGAAAGGTTACCTACTCTACTACTGTAGGCTAACCATACACATTCCCTAAACCCTAAACCCCTATCCTACACAATATTTGCGGGCAAAGAGCCAACTTCGGCAGCGGGAGGACCCGACAAAGATATCGAGGATAGAAGGCCTTCACTGGCGTCTTGTCAGCAGTTTGATCGAAAGGTTAGGTTTGGGGTTTAGGGTTTAGGGATTAGGGTTTAGAGTTTATAACTTGGAGCTTCAGGTTTTTAGATTCTAGGGTTTTTCTCTGGGGACCCACATCGCCCGGAGTGGGTCCGGTATTGAGCTTTTAGAGCTCGCCTAGGTATTTGTCGTAAACTTGAATATTGGGCTAAAGACCCGAAGTCTTTCGGTTAAGGTGTTCTTAGAGAAGCCCACGCAGTTCTTGCTGTGTGACAGATCGGTTTAGGGTTCAGTGTTTAGCTACCCATAACGGTTTCTATATTAGGACCATGCACGGTTTATGATATGATCCACTTTGAAGTGTTCGCGACTCAACCCCATATCCTAAACTTTTGAAGATTTAGGGAATGGGGCCGGCCCTAAACGCAAAACTCGAAACCTTACACCCTACACAATACAGGGGCATTTCGGGGTATGTGTTCGTCTAGTTGTTTGAAAACGAACCCTGGGGAACAATGATTGAAATTGTTAAGGCCCGTATACACCGCCCTGTTGCAGCCCCTAGCTACCCCTTATTCGAGCCTACGCACTAAACCCTAAACTACCTAAGCCCTGAACCTAATTTAAGCTCACTTGTCCAGTATCCTAGGGGAACCAGAAGTCAACCTTTGGGATAATTATATAAAGATTCTAGTACCCAAAAACACGTTTCAATAGTTGCCTACTCTGGTACTCAGTCGATTAAGGGGTACTGGGGGGATGCTGGCTATTAGGGTAGTTCTCTCAATTAGGGTACCTTTTCCAACAAAGATACGGCACTCTTATACAAGGGACCCTAAAAGGGATCCTCATTTAGGTAGTTATCTAAATTGGGGTACCTTTCAGGGTCCTTTTTATAAGGGTGCCGTACTATATTGGGGACCTAAAAGGGGATCCTAATTTAGAGAGCTGTTCGTTTAGAGTACTACCCCTACAGTAGCCCTTCAGCCTTAAGCTCTTCTGGCACCCTTAAAGGAACCCCAAAAAGGGACCCTAAGCCCTAAAACACAAAAGCCCTAGGGCCCTAAAACCCCCAAACCCAAAGCACCCTAAACCCCTATATCACTGCCCCTACCCAAAAGGGACCCTAACTAAGGGACAATAGGAGGGACCCGTAGAAGGGACCCCTAATCCAAATACCCTCTATAACCCTTGTATACCCCTTATATAGTCTCATAAGGCCCCTATATAACCCCAAGGGTCCCTTTAAGGATCCCTCCTTTTAGTCCCTTGACTGAAGTATTCCCCGAACCCCTGTCCTAAACCCTGATATAGAGAACAACCCTAAACCCTAAAGCCCCAAACCCCTATACCCAAAAGGGACCCT